GGTTAAACTTAAGTTCCCATCTAAAATTATGGTTTGAACATTTTTCCTGATACCAGTTACTTACATTAAATCTCCTTTTATTCAGTAGGGACGCCTGGGTGGCTCGGTTGGGCGTCCAACTCTTGGTTTCGGCTCAAGTCATGATCTCGTGGGTTGTGGGATGAGCCCTGTGTGGGGTTCTGTGCTCAGCGGGGAGTGTGCTTGATGATTCTCTCCCTCTGCCCCTCCCCCCACTCGTGCGCACATGCTTCCTCTCTCTACAATGAATGAATCTTCCAAAAAAATTCCTTTCAGTAATATTTTGTACTTTTTGCTCTACAAGTCTTTTATATCAGCCTGGTTAAATATATTCCTATGTAGTTTGTTCTTTTCGGTGCTTTTATAAATTGAATTGTTTTCTTAATTTACTTTTCAGATTGTTCATTGCTAGCATATACAATTTTTTGGAAGATTTTATTTATTTGAGAGAGTGAGCGAGAGAGAGAAGGAGCAGGGGGAGGGGCAAAGGGAGAAGGAGAAGCAGACTCCCTGCTGAACAGGGAGCCCGACACAGGGCTTGACACGGGGCTCAGTCCCGGGAATCTGGGATCATGACCCCAGCCGAAGGCAGATGCTTAACTGATGACCCACCCAGGTGCCCCTAGCATATACAATTTTTAAAGGGATTTTATTTTTAAATAATCTCTACACCCAACATGGGACTGAACCCACAACCCTGAGATCGAGAGTCACATGCTCTATTGACTGAGCCAGCCAGGCTCCCCATATACAGTTTTTGTGTGTTGATCTTATACCCTACAACTTTGCTGAATTTGTTTACCAGCTTTAATATATTTTTGTGGATTTTTAAGGATTTTCTATATATAGCGTCTTTGTTGCTTACGAAGAGATAGTTTTACTTTTTCCTTTCCAATTTGGGTGTGTTTTATTTCTTTTTCTTGCCTAATTTCACTGTCTGGAGCTCCCACTATAATGTCGAATAGAAGTGGCTAAAGCAGGCATCCTCGCCTTGTTCCTCATCTTAGGGGGAAAGCGTTCAGTCTTCCACCATTGAGAATGGTATTAGCTGTGGGGGTTTCACAAATACTCTTTATCATGTTGATGAATTTTCCTTCTATTCATAGTTTTCTGACTATCATTAAAGAATGCTGTATTTTGTCAAATGCTTTTCCTGCATCAATTCAGACAACTGTGGCTTTTTTCCTTTGTTCTATTAAATTGGCGTATTACATTTATTGGTTTT